GTTTTACATTGTCTTCAGAATAAACTATTCTTTTCACGTTTCCCCATAGATAAAAATCGAGGAAATAATTAGTAATTAATTAAGTTTACGCGTACTTAAACTGATTATCAAATGCATCTTCCTCGAAAACAAAGTCTCTCACCCAATTTCGTTATCCTTGATTTCTAACTTCTTTTGAGCCATAGAATCACACTGACTCCATTTGCACCATGAATTTTGGACCACCCTGTATCTAGGTCTGTGGCCTCCCATCACTTTCGTATGAACATTTACGCGGGAGAATTAATATTTATATTACTACTCTTATTTTTTAATTATATACTAAATTTTATAATATTCAATCACTAAAAATGATTCTATACTTTTAATTCTAATATTTTGAGAATTCCTGTTTCCCTTATATTACTTTTTCCCCTAGGGCAACCCACTTTGCTCGATACTGTACAATACTATATATTATATGTAGCACCGTTGGCAACCGTAGGTCTGACAAATACCGTCCTTTTCTCCTTTGAATCCTAAAAGAAGTGAAATAATTGCGGCGAAAATAAAAAGAAAGAGCAATTTGTTCTAGCATGAGAAAAGAGAAGTAATTACTTATTGAAATAAAAAGAACTGGCTCTAGTGTACGTTTGCAGAATCTAATCCCTTTTTAAAATTATTGAACCTGTCTGGTGGCTCCTTTTCCTCCGACGGGATCGGTGAATCACACTAGTCTCATAACGCGGCTACCCAACGACTTCTCTTTGTCCCGGCCCTCTTTTTATCACTCTTCGGTTTCACGGCCTCGCGCGGACCCCGGAATCTTTATTAAAATGCACAGAGGCTTGAAGATCGGTCTCCCTCTTTGCGCTCTTTTTCAAGTCACCCTGAATTCCGCAGCCGCATCTCGCGCCTCTTACAACTGAAACTCATTATGCGATCTTTGATGTACCGGGTTGCGCCGAGATCTGGAACGATCGTAATTGCGATCCGCGACCACACGAACACCTCCTCCGTTTCATACAACTTCTCGAGGTGTCGGAACATCTATTTTTACTTCTTTTCTATGCTACATTACCATAGTCAGTCGGTAATATTTGAATGCTTTCAAACCCTTTGATACCATTCTTTCCTTTTTTTTTCTAAATTAAATACTAACTTGCGAATAATGTAAGAATTTCTGGAATGATTGAGATAAAAACAAAGGAAAATATATATTTTCAAGAATATTCTTTAATTTAAGATTAAACATATTATTTTTAATTATTATCAAAGGGGTGAACTTTTGTTTACAAAATTTTTCAGAAAATCATTTGTAAAATGTATTTTTCTTTTTAACCATTTTCAAGATAACTAATTTTATTATTTTAGTATAATTAATATTAAATTATTATTTCATTTCTGTATGCTTTACTTCCTATTTCTGTAAGAAATGGTACAAAATTCATTTCAGTATTGAAAATATACATTTTTCATGTCACCTAAATTTCTTGAAGATTGAGGATGATAAAGAGAAACGATTCTTGGATTTATATTCAGTGCACAAAAATCTATAAGAAACATCCATTGCATGTTTAAAATTTGTTGAGCAGTGTAATACGATTCTGATGTCTTTTCCTACCTCTTCCTATCTCTTCTTAGTGTTCTACGTTCGATCACAAACGAGATCGAAATCGCCGATTTTATAACGCGATTTGGTATCGAGAATATCCCCGTCGCGGATTCGAACGTGCTCAGAATTCTTTCAACCACGAGACTTTCTATATCCTTTAGGATTTTCGAAAATGCTGCAGCGATCACTACCTTCGTTTACTATATATTTCTTATAAGATTAATAGAATTTTTTATATTTTTACTTATTATTTTTTGTATAAACAATTGAAGCCCCATGATTGTTAGATTGTTTCATATGAAAGAGCGAATTCTGTAATGTTTCTGTAACTATGATTAGGTGACATCATTAATTAGTTATTTTATTTTTATCATAACAGAATATATATAAACAGTTTTATTGCATAGCAAGATTTAAGATGTCTTTTGATCCTTTGTTTATTTCAACAAAAAAAAATCAGTGATTTTGTGTTAATAATATTGATATAGAGTTTATGCAATTATTTTCATTAAACTTTGAGCTTTATATTAATCATTAGATATTCATCGACTAAACATGACGTAACAAATAACAGAAGAGAATAAAAGCTAATCGTAAAATTCGAACAATGAATTGTTAACTTTTAATCATCAGTTACCGTTCGTGTCCTGAATTCTTTCTACCTTTTACGAAACAGCCCTGGATAAAAACCACAAAAGATAAGAGCTTGACAAGCAAAGGAAACGCCTCGGTGAGCAAGATAATAGAAGCAAACTAAAAGTGTCAAGAATCATTCAATGACGTGTTTTTGTTGTCCGTCTGTTTCGTCTTACGTTAAGAAGCAAGTGATCCATGAAGTGTAATTGCTAATTTTATCAGTCTGCTACTTTTCGACTCATTTCTTTTATACGTTGCATCAATATATAAAACATAGATTTGCGATCAAGTCAGTCTTCCCCCCAAGTGAAAATAGCAATCCCCCTTCGTAGGCTTCCCCTGGCTCCCACCCACCCCTTAGGTGGCCAGAAGGGAAGAAGGTTCCATATACATTTGATTGCATTTATTTGGAATAAATTTCAATTTTTGAATAAATAAATTTAGTTATTCTCATCTATCAAAAATGTCACGTAGTAAAAACATCTTGCGAATTTTTCCAAACAATTACCAGTGATTGATTTCGATTTAACATTAATTAATTAACGTCTGAATTAATTAAACGTTTCATAGTTTATTTTATCTCAACGAACAGTGTACTTTGTAAATAAGCTGGAGGACAAAATCTTTCTTCTTCTGTTGGAATTTCTTGAAATTTTCATAGTAGAATTGTTCCTTCTTTGGACTAAACTCGCGAGGGACGGGACGGTTCGTTCGTTGCGTAAAGTTAGATTGAGGGGGACCATCCTGACGGAAAGTAGAACAGACAGTTATGCAAATCACCATGGTACGTGTACGAAAAGTGCATAACCACAGAAACGTCCCTCTGTACGTCCAACGGCGATGGTCCTTCGGGAAATTGGCGAGAATCGAGGAAAGTGAGCCCCAAGGGCGTACCGCGAACCTGACAACCCCTAAGCGAAACGAGCCGAATTCGAAGTGTACAACGATCGACATGACCCTCTTACATTACCTTCGACTAGGCTAGTTCATGTTAACACAAAAACAATCAAATTTTTTAAAAATGATCCCAGGAATTATATTTTTAGTGAAATGTTTGTTGGCTTTTATCAGGATAATGAATCGGCCCTAGCAACAATTTCGGTTTATATTTGTACTAAATAATGCTTTTTGTCTAAAGAAGAACTGTAAGTAATTTCAACCCCCTCCCTCCATGGTAAGGGCCATACAGGGGTACCAACCCTAAATTTTACTATTTTTGTCCTGGAAAATTATTTAAAATATTTGAACACATTAAAGTGTTAATAAAAGGTATTCAAGAGCTGTATTTTGTATATTTTTTCAAAATTTTTAGCTGATGACTAAGGGTAGAAAAGTAATAATTAACTTTTTGAAATTGATTTTTATAAACTACCATTAAAAAATATTTTGAACATAACGCATTATTACTTAACTATTATCTGTAAAAATTTCAAGAAGGTCGAATTGGTGCAATATAGTTCAAAAAAAATGAAATCGATATTACGCCCTTTCGTAAGGCATTTGTTTAAATAATATATTAAGAATTTGAACTTTTTAATTAAGTTTTGTTACTACTTTCGCGTAAAGTGTACGTGAAGTCGAAATTAAAATAAGGGATACGTGTTATTATTCTTTTTTTCACCATTTAATAACAGGTATAAGGGTAACAAGAGTTGATTGTATTATATAAGGAACACTTTAATTTCAATTTTTGAAAGATACCAATTGTACGAAATGAAGTCGAAATGGATACGTCTTTCGACGTATAATTAGAAAAAGAATGTATCAGTGTTAACCCTTTGACTGGTATGGGCGCAGATATGCCCATAGTTTGTTTCACGTATATCTTAATCATAATTAAATAAAAGTTATCAATGCATATATTACTAATTACATTCCATATGTTATCAGATTATAATAATGAGCTAAAACAATGAAAAAAAAAAATTAAAAAATAAATTGAGAAATGAAATGAAATTTTTAAAAAATGATGTGTTATTGACTTAATTCTTATTTCGTTTACACAGAACGTTTAAGTCTAGAGTGCTCTGTATTCAAAGGGTTAAAATATGTGAGTCTTGTTTACGCTTTGAAACCTTTTGAATTATAATACATATGAAATTTTTCTCATATTCTCGTTACATATAGAGCAAATAATCCAGTGTCCCGTTTGACGTGCCCACTCGGTCCAATAAAGCGTAAAATCCTGTATTAACGATACTTCATAATAAACCTTTAATCAGAACATCAGCGGAGATCTCTGGAAATAAATCGAGTCGGACTCTGATTGTCATGCATTGCAGCAGCATTTTGATACTTTTGATTTCGTATTGTCATTCATGAATCGCGCATTTCTCTCGTCCAGTGTACGCTTGCATAATGTAAAACGTACTCAATTATTTACACGCCAGAGTAGATTTCAAGCTGAAACAAGCGTACGAGCGCACTTTGTACATAACAGCCGTAATCGACGTCAAAAACAGCTTTCACGAGGAGTGGCCGACTGGAACATTTATCGAAATAAATCCCCTTTTCGGAGATATTTTGACCGGAAACTCCAATAACAAATGGATCGGATATACATTAACTTGATACAAACCTGTTTTGTATCAACATCAAGTAGCCCCACGTTTTTCGTTTTAAACCTTACAAGTATTTTCATAGCTACTAAAAATTCACAATCACAAATTTTCAGGAGTATCTATATGGGGCTAGGAAAAATTATTTTATACTTTCAAAAACGTGGTATATTAAAAAATTTTTTTTATTTGAATAATTATTTTCTGCTTTTTAGTCGAAAATTTTCGATTTTAAACATTTTGATGAGATTACATATACATTAACTATAACAGAGACATGTGGTAAATTTCAGATTTATTTCAGTTTCTCTTCACCTGATCATATCTGAAATAAAAAATTGTTATACCTACCTACCAATAATATATCAATCTGTTTAATTTTGATTCTCCTGAAAAATAAAATAAAAAAGCAAACAAAATTAATTTTATAAGATTTTTTTTTTGCGAGTTAATATTGCATTGTAATCTAGTTCTGAGTTAGTTTAAAATCAATTGCAAAATTTGCACCGAGCAGACAGACAAGAAAGCGAGTTAATAAAAACGAGTTAAAAAATTATACATATCTAAATACACCTACGTAGTTCAACTTTGACACAATTTTTTGCAAAGTTTATAAAAAAATCTTGATATTTTCTGGAGACAATTACCTACATAGGACCAGGCCAGTACTTAAAGGAAACGTCGCGTCGTTGTTTCATCGAGAAAGGGCGATTCGCTGTCAGAAGAGCACGATTTCGCGTAAAACTGCACTCGGATTTAATGGCGAGATATCCTTTGGCTCGAAGCATTGGCATTTCTAAGAGGTAAAAGCAGAGCTCACCCCGAGAGCGTTTTATCAAGCCGCCGTCGGATAGTTCTCTCGTTATCAAGCTAGTCGAAAGGATGAAGGTAGACACACTCGCGTGATTCCCATGCGAACGATCCTATCCTTATCAACGAGTCTTCTTCTTGTTCTTCCTCGTCCGCCTCCGTTCCATTTCCGCTTTCTTTCTTTACTTTTCTCAATCGTCCTTTCGAATTTCCTTCCTTTCTTTGCTATTCCCTTCGTGTCCCTTACATCTCTACCTTTTTTTCTTTCTGTAAATTATACGCGCAATCGGCCAGAGAGAAATGGTACTCGTTTGCCACACTTATCGAGATACCGATAATGAGAATCGCTGTACTTTCCTCTTGATTTCGTTCGTCTTCCTACAACCGCGTCAAGGGAGAAGTCAAACACTTCGATCGCTCTTCTAAATTCCCTTTACAGGAAGGGGAATAATTTGTCTGAAACTCAATGGTGGAAAAGCGAACGATTCGACTTTCTGATTGCCCTATAAAGAGTCGATGATGGTAGCTGATAACTTCTTTACTATTACCGTCGAATGATCTTCAAAAAAGGATGAAAGAGCATTCAACGTATTGACTGTCTCAAGAGAAATATTTATGCCAAGAAAGATACTACTTCGGTGATTAAATTCATTTCTTTAATCAGATTCTCAACAGTTATCTTTTATTTTTCATACTAGATTAAAGAATAAAGTGAAAGTTAAAAATAAAATAGAAGTCATAAGTAGTTGACTTTGGACTACAATTATGCAAAAACTATTATATTTATAAGAAAAATGTTTATACCAAAATATTTCATAGTTATCCGACTTTATTGGGTCAGAACAGTTTCGCTAATAATTAAGTTATTAATAAGAAATGGAGACCGGAGTATAGTAACACATTTTCTTTTTAAATCAAAATATTTATTAAATTAAATTGTAATAATAAATGAAGAGAAATAAAATAATTGTGTTCAGACAAAGGAAAAACTAAATATAAATCAAGTTTTTTAAAAAATTACAATATTGGGATATATTTTTTAATTTTTTAATATAAATTTGGCATTCACGCATTATTTTTAAAATTAACGCGATAAAATATCTCAAAGAGAACATTTAACGAATGAGCAGAGAGGAGTAATTAGGAAAATGAAAAACGAAGGAGTTACCCACCGACAAATTGCTAGCTCTTTTAACAAAACACCGTCAGTCATGTTTAAAATAGTTGCAGCGTTTAAAACTGATGCTCGAAATTCAGTTGCACCAGTCAGGACGTCCAAAAGTGACTAATGTTCGAGTAGATAAACGAATAGTTAATATTTCTTTAGCGAATCCATTATTTGCAAGTAAAATACGCTTAAAATTATTGAGTGAAGACTAAAACGCACCATTGAAGCAAACCGTTTGCCTTTTGGTAACGAAAATGGTTGAACATCGATAATTTCAAGAACCAGAATTTCCAAACACTTTTAATATCTTTCCTCTACATTAATAATAAAAATCTTAATTCACTTTAAAAACTGTAATTTCAAATATTATGAAGAGAATACTATATTTTAATTTATATACCCTGGATTTTACAAATCATAAAAATTAATATCCTTTACCCATAAAATTTGTGTTCTCTTTGTTTTCATTTTTTATATAAATAGATTCTTAATTAATGAAAATTTCATTCATGCAATTACTCGAGTACCATTGTACAGTATAAATTAATTTTTTATTTATTGCATAAAATTTCATATTTACCTTCTTTCAAATGGTTTTTTGCTACACCGCAAAATGTTCATTTACTTTTGGCATCCACTTTATTTATAATGTTACTTTTAACCATGTATATTTCGTATACCCCTAATGTACGTATATGAAACAGTAACGAACAAAACGAGCAGACGGAAAGAGAATGAATCCGCATATTCCATTGTGTTTGACAAATAACTTGGTGACACGTTCGGTTCTTCGAACTGTACCGATTAACTCGTACGAATATAACACAATGGTATTTGCAGGGATTGAAACGTTTCGAGTATCGAACACCTTTGAAATAGGAAAAATCACTGTCGGCCTGTATCATTTCACCGGTATTCCCGACTGACAATATTGTGACACCGAAACCGCATTACGCGGTACACCCATGTTTCCCACGCGAGGATCCAGCTCAGGTTAAATATTTGTCGAGCGGTTATTGCGAGCTCGTCGATGACGAACTTCGACGAGATACAGGTGGCGCCACGTACGTAACAGATGTAGAAAGAGAGGGACAGAGAGACGGAGGTTAGCTCGACGCTTCCCGATTTCCTTTTCCCTATTTCTACCTTGGATCAACCGTTTTCACTGCGTTTACGATTTGCCCGTAAGCGGTTTACGCGAAAAGTACGTTCAAGCCAGCGTGAAAACGACGCCAGACAGACTCAGATACCGGACAAAGCGTTTCCGAGTTTACCAGAGTGTTCGCCCGTTTCTCGCTTCCACGCCGCTTACACTTTCCACTTCTCCGCCATTGTAACAACCATATTTCCACGAGTGCCCGTGAATCCTCTCGCTGGCGGGCCCGCAGCCTCGATTGCCCTTGCTTCTACTCTCTTTCCGACGCGACACAGTTTTTTTACCACTTCTTCCTCTGTTCTACTTAATTGTTTAACGTCGGTCATTAACGATGATGACACCTTGTTCCTTGTACTAGTTCTTTTCAATTTATTGTTTGAACTTTGGAGTACATATTTTTAGATAAGTTTGTAATTGTAACATCTGCAAGGGGTGTGATATGGATTTTCAGGAAGATTAAGAAAAATTAAGAAGAAACGTATTGAAGAGTAGAAAAGAATTAATTGATGAACTATTTGAAATTTGCATCATCTTAAAGGTTAATTAGATCATTATTATTACAATAGGCTTTTTTATAATTTAATAGGGAATTAATTAGTCGCAGAAGCAATGGTTTGAGAACACCTTATGTGTTTCTAGAGATGTAAGAGAACCTGAAAATTTCGGGTACCCGATACTCGAATCGGATCGGATCGGATTTTCGAGTTCTGGCACATCTATTCTTCCGAGAACTGCAGATCCAACCCGATCCGATATAATGTGGATTAAAACTCAACTCTTCCTATTAAATATCATTATCTTCTGATCGACGACTACCCGAATATGTGTTTTTCCAAGTAACACCGTTATTCTTGATATTTTCAAAAAATGACCTTAAAGAATAAATCGTTCATCAGTGCATTAAGCACTGCAATTTGGTATCAAAACATACTTTCTGAATACCTAACTGTTCGGATTTTCATGAACTACCCTGTGTACAGTATATACCTGCATAAGGCTGCATACTGTACAATCTAATTAAACTATTATACTTGATACAATAAACTTTGATACAGAAACTCATTGAAGTTATGAGTAGATTAAAGTAGTATAATGAGCTCCGCTACCGCAGTAAGCAAGGCTTGTGGATGCGTGTTGACCAGGGGGGAGTACCAAGTAGACAAGGAGTTTAAATTAGCTTCTCTGCTTACGGATATTTTAATTCCCCTTTGATTTCATTGCGGTGCTGAAGATTATAGCTGTGCTATTCGCCCGTAATTTCTTTGAATCGTAATCAACTGATTTCTAATACCTTTTTCTGGTACTGTGATAAATTAAAAGAATTTTTAATTTTATTTTGGATAACCGTGTTTTCAAGCATATAGTAGGTTCTTATTGAATATATGTTTAGGAATATCTTTGAAATTAATAAGCTAAGTACTGCAATAAAAATGAAAAGTGTTGAAATTCTAGTTATTGATATGAAATAAAAATAGTTGACTTGTAAATTTCGAGTTTCGAGCCTTCAGTTTATAAAATAATAATAATAATAATAATAATGTTACTTAACATAATATTATTCCATTGTTTTTCTTTGTTTTTATTAAGAAGTTTAAACTGCTAATTAAAACTGTTATTACTGATAAGAATACTTATTAATAGTAAAAACATTGAAGGAAAAAGATAGAATGGTCAATACCTTTCAAAGTAGATTAGGATTAAAAAGAAAAAAATCTTTAAAATTCATAATTTCAGTTGAGAAAGGTCTATTTAATTTCCATTATGATAATTAGAAATGTTTTGAAATGTGACATCACTTCTGGAAATAAGATGTTATAAACAATAATCTTAAATTTTAATTAAGTAACGTTTCAGCTACAGTTTTGTGTACTTTTCAAACGTTCGTTGCTTGTTTAAAAGTTTCCTTTATTTAGTATTAATAATTAATACTAATATTTAGTATATAAAATAAGTGAGGGCATTATAGTGAATACTAACTTTATTATTATTCGAACTTAAAGGAATATGTTGACGAATATATGAACGTTTTTATTTTTCATTAATTTATTTTCGAAATTTATCTTTGAAGCTGGGTTAAAATGACCCTGCATTCGTTATAGAACGACTAGTAAAACTATTATGAATTATCATTAAAAACTGTATAAACAATTGTTTTGCTTTAGTCTTCTATTCGCCAAGTCCAATTCCCATAAGATCATTAAAAGTAACTGTTATTGGAAGAAGAACAAGAAAAGTAGAAGGAAAGATACGAAAACGTGGGGAGACAGACGAAAATTCAAGTGGTATTAGAAGCAAAAAGGCAAGACATTACCATTGCGCCAAACCGATGCAGTTATTTGAACTGGCGGTCACGAGTACGAGCAAGTCTATACGATCGTTCTTAGTGTTCAAGGGAAACGATAATTCGAAGTTTTTCTCCCACGCCGGAAAACGGAAATCGACTGTAATCGAGTCGTTTGAGTCTGAAGTATGAAAATCGACCGACTTATTAAGTTCTCTGATATTGCTGCAGTCGACATGAAAAGGCGCAAAACAAAAGAAGGAAAGGAAAGGAGCAAGATGGAACGTGGCATTTTCACCTGACTCCATTTTAATCCTGGAACGGCGACTACCATACGTTGCACTGGGGTCTTTTAGGTTAGGTTAGGTGATCTTCGCACATATTAAATAAGTAAAAAATTCACTGAAATAAATTTAAGTATAAAATTCAAATGTTCAAAGAAAAAAAAGAAGAATTATTTTATAACACAATAATCAAAATCAGTATCATACAAGAAAAGGTATTGTATTGAACTATTTATAGTGAATAATAAAAGACGGTTTACGCATTTGCATTTATAATCTAAAGTTTGCAGATCATAATGTTTAAATAAATTTTTAAAAAGTTATATTTATCTGAAGAAGTAAATTCTTATATACGTATTGATTCGCTATAAAAAGATGATTTTTTGTTAAGAAACTAAATGAAAATATAATACATAATACTGACTCGGCTCGACTCGTTTTGACTCGGCTTGACTCGGCTGGATTTAGCTTGACTCGGCTTGACTCGACTCAACTCGGGTCAACTCGGTTCGATACGGCTGGGCTCGGCAAGGCTCGGCTCGGATCAAGTTAGGTCGGTTCGAACTTAGTAATAATTAAATTTCTATTCCCATTTATTTTAACAAATCAAACATAATTTCTATAACAAGTTAAAAAGCTTCTCATTCCTGCACACTGAGTTATTCTGTATTCTCCACTGACCCAATTTTTTATTGTTCACAATTAAGCTTATATCTTATTATCATATTTACTTAAATTATAACTGTTTTTACACTGCTTCTAATAATAATAATAATAATAATAATAATAATATAATAATAATAATAATAATAAACTACTTCTTATTTATTTATATAGAAAATTTTACTAGGATCGTGAAAGACTAACTGTGCCATTTCAGGGTTAATTCTAACCTATAAAAACGAAACCCTTGCGACGGCAACGTTTCTTCCCTTTATTCTCTTGCTCTGTGCGGATGCACGGGTAGGTAATCGTACAGTGGAACAAGATTCCATTGGCACTCAACTCCATCCCGCCTTTTATACTCACTCTACCGTATATGCCGAGAAATATTTACTGTTTCCCAATAATGCTCTTCGGTTTGCCTTTCTTCCTTCTCCTCCGCTTCTTCCGGCTCCGTAGGGTTACAGGCGGTCTTAGTACGTCGAGTAATAGTCCGTTCAAAATTCATTCGACCGTTTTAAAGGTTGCTCGTTTTGAAGGTATTTGGGAACTGCAGCCGACTTTCCGTTCGCCAATTTTATTGCGAACCGATATCATTGATGCATCTGATCGCCGAGTTACGTTCACTTATTGGATCCCTTTCTTTTGTGATCTACGTATCGCTTTTTCTAATGATAATTTTCTTTGGAAGAAATTAGAAAATTATTTTGTTGAATTTTTCTGAGTTTCAAGTGGTTTATACTAATTTATTTATGAATTGGGGGGTCTTCACCAATTTCAATGACCTTGAAATATCAAAGTCATCATTCTCTCCATGGTCCGCCGTCCCAGGGTTGACTTTTGTGAATATGTCGAAAACTAAGACTAAGTGGTCATATGCAGAGGAAAGAACTCTTCAGAATAAAGACTTTCATAACATATTTCAAGGTCACTGAAATCGATGAGGACTCCTCTATTCTGAATAATTATCAAATAATTGTATGTACTTTGATAAAATTGAGATCAGAAGACTGAAAAATTTTAGTATTATAATATTTTGTTATTATAAATTATGAGTGCTTGTTTTATTTTGTTTCAGGTAAGTCTTCACAAAATTTACTTTTCATAGGATTTCGTATTCCAGAATTTGGTGAGTAAATATACACAAATATATTACGTTATTAAGAAAATTACATCCTAGGCTAAAATGATAGAAGATCAAACATTTTTTCATATTTTGCCTGTTTATTTGTGGTATCTTTCTGAACATCGAATATTTACATAGATGATACTATTTTTTTTCACATAGTAATTGTCAGTGAGTTTTCGGAACAGAAAAGAAAGAATCTAATATTAGACCATTCAATATTCTTTTATCTGTTCCATCATCTGTCGCTTTGAATCGTACTCATCTAACAAGGGACATCAGCCTACTGACAGATGTCAATTTCGATGCAGTTTTGATATGACACAGAACCCAAAAATATATCTGACATTTAGTTTCTTCCACCAGCAAACGTCCGTGCTGAAGAGATGAAAACAGCCCTCAAAATTCAAATTGAAAAAATCTATTTTATCCCTTATGGCGAAGACTGTTGCAATTTTTTGGTGATTTAATAATTGGTTCACTTTTAAATACAATATTAACTTATCCATTATTCTAATAAATTAAAATGCGATACAAATTTATAATTATGATATATAATTCTATAGGCTGTCGTTAGGATATTCTGTCATCATAAGTATATTACAATGAACTCCTGTTATATTGCCGTTCCAAGCTCTGATTTAAAGGAGGAAAAGGCGATAGAAATGTATCACTTTCATAGGCTATAATGGTGGAAGGGTAACTGTAGCATGCTTTAAAATTCATGTGAACGTCAAGTTCTCAGATGGCAATATAACGAGAGTCTACTATATGTATTTAGTATTTAGTGATATTTATTGTACGAATAAAACTAAAAATTGGGTATTTCTGGTATAGTCTTGGAGCTTTATGAAAATACTAGTTAAAGCCACTGTCCGTCCGATCCGCCCGACGAAACAACTGCTCGAGGCGGGAAGAGGCAGGCACGGTAATGTTTACAGTATGTATTAGTGCGCGCCCTATCCTGTCTTGTATCGTTTATTGTGAGTTATAAACACTGACAAACTCCTCTGCTTAAATATTTCACAATCTTCTGATGGTGAGTTATTTAAGGGTAAACTTTACTTTACCGGACCCAAAATTTTGGACCTTTTTTTTTTGAATCTATAGTTTTTGATGCGTAGAATCTGAAAATGCAAGTCTCAACTTTAGGAATTCAGTGGTTAAAAAGTTATAAGCGTGTAAAGTTTGACATTTTTAGCGGATTTGCTACGTTACTGTGACGCCATATTGCCTTAGATGTATAACCTGATTGGTCCTCGCATAGCGTAGAACTAAACTTCCGCTTACCTTAATTAAAAACATATTGTTTCCGAATCGCTTCCATCATTGATCCCATGAGGTCTATGTTGTTGTGACGGCAAAACCGTCGCCACAGATATTCGCATAAGCGATCGGCAAATTCCTCATCGTGAAAACGACCCCTCCCCCTCATCCAGTCCTTCGCCGGCCGCCAATTTGACTCTATTTGCTGGGTATGAGTCCCATCACTAGCTGTATTTAAATTATTCGTAAAATTGAATTCTCTCTCTCTCTTTAAAAAAATATACACCTAACTAACTCAGACATTATCAAATTTACCCGCCAAAGTAGTCGGCACCCACGTGAATCTGCCTACAGCTAGCGACACCGTTCATTGGACAAGAAGTCAATATGGCGTCACAGTAACGTAACAAATCCGCTAAAAATGTCAAACTTTACACGCTTATAACTTTTTAACCACTGAATTCCTAAAGTTGAGACTTGCATTTTTGGATTCTCCGCATCAAAAACTATAGATTCAAAAAAAAAAAAGTCCAAAATTTTGGGTCCGGTAAAGTAAAGTTCACCCTTATTTAATATTGTACCCTAATACTTTTTAATAATTCAAGATATAATTATATGTAAATGTTCAAACGAAATACGTAATAATACTATTGTGAGGTTATGGTCATGTCACATATTCTGATTGATGTATTACAAAAATATGCGGATTCTATATTTTCAAACGATTTAAAAAGTATTCCTTAAATCATTCGTTTGGTACAGTTGGTAATCTCATTACTTTCATTCTCCATATTTCGCCACTGTATATTTTAATTTTTTCACGCGTACATGCATATATAGTATGTGCAAATGCGCAACATGTTGGGTATGAAACAGATTCTGAACAGAGCATTTTTCGGTAACGAAATTATTACGCTACTCTGCGTTTTCTCTTAAAATCCATTATACGCAACAGCAGGTTAAAAAGCGCTCTTAAATTCAGCGTGCAACTCCTTGGTATAAATTCAATTACGACTGTGGGTTTTAACAGCGGGAATGGTTTTGTTAATTTTCTAATATGGTTTTTATTTCACCAATATATTTATAACTCATTTATATTCTATTAACGTAAAATATAAAAGATGAACGAGACAGTTCAAACAAATTGTAGTATAAGTTAAAGTTTCAATTGTTAGTAATTTACTTACATGATTTCTGACTAATTATCACAAAATGTTTTTTCTCTAACTTTTTCATACTTTTTAAACATCTAACAAACCTTAATAGCCCTTACCTAACCTAACTTTTCTTTATTCATGCAGTTGTACAAATTCCTTACAAAACATTTTATTACCTATAAAATAATAACAAAGAAAATTGTTCTAAAAATTATGGGAATTTCTGTAGACCCCTAGCCCCGAATTAAAAGGAGGTCTAAGGGAGGTTTTAGCCCTGGAGCCCCGCGCTAACACATTACAGTAAAAGCTGGATATATGCAACAAAAGTTTGGCTGGATATATGCAACATCGCTATCCCCTCCACTTGGGGGGATCCCCCTAAGCCGAACCGAGCCTCTCGGCCAGGAAACCGTGTAATATGATCCGACCGTAATATCGGTGTGACTAATACTAATTGAACGATAAAACTTTTTTATTTTTAACTTTTTCTTAATGAAACTTTTACTAACGCATTTGTGAGATTTTTCTGATTAAAATGGTACCAAACACGATATGATTTGAATTATATTTATTTATTAAAATAATAATAAAACTGTACATATGCATAAGGCAGGCCGTACACCAAAGATACATCAAACACACAACATGCAACATGCAACACGTCGCATGTTGTGTACGAACGTAGAATAGGTATCGCGGCACGGTACAAACGATTTGTACGGACGCAGAATCGACACCAAGACTGGATATATGCAACATTAAATGCCCAAGATCGACACCTTGGCTGGATATATGCAACATTAAATGCCCAGAATCGACACCTCGGCTGGATATATGCAACGTTTAAATGCCCAGAATCGACACCTCGGCTGGATATATGCAACGTCTGGGTCCCAATGTTTGTTGCATATATCCAGCTTTTACTGTACTTATCGTTGAGGGAATGCGCGCGCAGCTAAAATGTGCGACCCATAGACTTTCTATAGGAAAATTGAAATCTCTGTAACTTTTGACTCCGACCACTTAGATCCACAAACGCAACGGTTTTGAGCTAGTCTCGGCGAGATCTTTCTAACGACGCGACGCGACGTATAGAGCGTATCTCTAACCCTAGTAATTCTCAAGTTCTTTGCGCTTTATATACATATATAAGATTTCGCCTTTATTTCAATATGGGGCTACAGAAAGTATTTTAATTTTTCAGATATTCTTTAAACAAATAAATTTTTTGAGAATTTGTTTATAGTGAATTTGTCATAAAAAAGGTATAATACTTACCATTTAAAAATAGGAACATTTTTTATTTATGAAATAATTATTGCTACTGTGTTATGACTTTTTTCGTTATGAAAAAATGTTATAATTAATCGATTTGAATAAATTATTTTATGTGTGCAAGAAATAATTGAAATGGTCGCGCTAGGAGATTCTGCATTTCTTATGATTTTTTTTTTTAACGCAGTAAAGTTATGTGTTAACGTGACATTATTTATGGAAATAATCTTGACAAATCAACTTTTGTTCCTCTCTTCTACTAGCTCGCTTTCCCTTTGTAATTTTTCGTAATAAAATCGTCGTAAAATGTTTGTATCAACGCTATTAACATAAAAAAGCCAATCTAGAAGGTGACGTCTGCGTGTTCTGAGAACGGAAAGCAGATGGTACCGACATTCTTGTTCGCATCCCTCGAGCGAATTCATCCGGAAAGGCCGTATTTTCTTTGTTATTGCCAATCAAGCTGACACTTGTCAAACTTCTCAATTTAAGTGAAAATATTGTAAGGGAGCGGAATATTATACGAGAAAATTAGATAAAGGAAGAGAAAAAATAAAAGTCGAGCACACTGGTGTGTACCAGATCATTGTCAGATAAATGATCAATTTTACTAGACGTTTGAAGACATTTATTTCACAGAAATAAAATTTATAATTTCATCATTTGTGAACTCGATTGTTCAGAAACAAACTCCTGGTCGATTACTATTAGAATGCACAGAAAGAGTTAATAATTGTATGTACCCGAAAGTAAAGTTGAGCCGATGTTTTCTTAGATTTGTATGAAACGTGTGATAAGATTTTTGATGGTTGGTATATTTCATTTCGATCGCGAAGCCAGTCGTCAGTTCGCTCTTCCAGACAATACTATCGATTATCTGGCCGGACATTAACGAGCATGATCTCTCTTTCGTTAACGCGCGAGCCAGTGCTCGTACTTCTCTTCACTTTCCTGCCGGCGTTGCGTAAATCTTATAGTTCCGACCCGTAGGACCCGGGTGTAACACCTCCTGCTCGTAGGTCGAAGCGCCGGCCATAAATATTTGAGAGTTCGAAGCGATTCTGCCCACCCGGGACGCGATTCTACCTTCTTCTCCCATGCCAGTCTCTCGGATGTCCCTTATTCTCTCTTCTCTATCCACCGCCTGTTTCGTTTGCTTCTCTCTACCCACGGGCAACGTTGAGACACGCGCCCAGTCTGGACCCACACCCACGCTCGCATACCGTACACCCTTTAACCCTATCTCCCTATGTCCTTCTTTTTCTTTTGCTCTTTTCCGTCTTGACCACTTCTTCTACCAATCTCCTTTATTTTCCTTCTTCCACGCGCTCTCGTATGCCGAACGCTTTCTTCGTTGATTCTTCGAGACCACGGTATCGTCCGATCCCACGATTATAAATTTTTACGTGTCTTTAAACCTTAATTGGTAACTTGCAGTCTGATATATTCAAACATTAAATTTTTTTAAAAAAAAGGCATTCACAGCCTTTTAACACGTTGCAATCTACATTATTGGGAATTCTTTCAGGTAACTAATTAGTAGGTATATCTAACCGAATTTTGCAAGTTATTTAAAATTATAATACAATTATTAAATAAAATTTTTGATTTTGTGGAATAAATAAAGTATTTTATTAACTGAGAGTATGGAAATTTCGTGTATCCCTTTATCAAAAATATATATTTTTTTAATTAATCATTTGAATGAAAGATGCTTTACCTTAAAGCTATTTAAATGACTTTGTGGGCAACTTACTATGATATCAATAATTAGAACTCATTTATTTTTTATAAATGAACCAAGATTATGAGAAAATGATTTATGGATCTATGGAAATTTTGCAAATTGTATATTGAAATATTCTAAGAATAAATTGTTCAAAATAAAAACACTACCTAATAAAATTTTTATTGATAATATTGTGGCAATCAATGTATTAATTATTAAAAGTGCGAGAACTCACAAATTTTGATTATTCGATAATTGGATTGGGTCGAAAATTATTTCAATTGACTTGGGATTCCTAAAATTCGGTGAACTGTGTTTTGGGACGAATTTTGTTGAACGTGACCGTGAATGGGAAGTGTTCCCAAAGACTGTATTCATCTAATTCACGTTGAACAGACAAATATAATTCCCGACTCAATCCGAGTATCGAGTACTTGAAATTTTCAAGTTTTCGTACATTTATACTTTTGAGCACCAAAGCCAATTCGACACGACCAGACCTAAACAATATGGACCCGACTCGACCGATGTACCGTCGACCCGGCCTGAACCAAACGATATAGATCCGACCCGATCTGAACCAAAGGATATAGATCCGACTCGCTTCGGCACGACCCGACCCGACCCGACCCGACCCGACTCGCTCCGGCACGATCCGATCCGACCCGGCCCAACCCGACTCGACCCGACTCGATTCCAACGATATATCTCCGACTAGACTCGACTTAATCCGACCCAACCCGAACGATGTAACTCCAACTCGACTCGACCCGAACCCGAACGATATAGCTCCGACTCGACCCGACTCCACCCGACCCGACTCGATTCCAACGATATAGCTCCGACTAGACTCGACTCAACCCGACCCAACCCGAACGATGTAACACCAACTCGATTCGACCCGACCCGAACGATAGCTCCGACTCGACCCGACTCCACCCGACCCGACTCGATTCCAACGATATAGCTCCGACTAGACTCGACTCAACCCGACCCAACCCGAACGATGTAACACCAACTCGATTCGACCCGACCCGAACGATAGCTCCGACTCGACCTGAGTCCACCCGACCCGATTCGATATTTTCTTCTAGCACACTTCTATTAATAATTTCCCACCACCTTTTTGGTATTGCCCCCAAACACAAACATTACACCAGTAATATTTATTCTTATCGTCAATCTGAATCCCTATGCGAATCCCTATTAAAATCTACAAAATCACGTCCTATCTTAACTATTGTCCCAAATTAAAAGTAACAAAGCAGCCATGCATCCCTAACCTCTGTTCTATTCTCTGTTTGCTGAACTCAAGCTGGTTTTCCTCTTGACTTCTTACGTTTT